CCCCGTAATGAATAATGTCTTTTTTTTTTTAAAGTAGTCTTCGAGGAATTTTTTGTCTAATCCTATTCTATAACACTCTTCAAACCTTAGATGCTATAGCAGATAAGAAATCAATCAATTGTTTTACCGTATTAATAAATAAGTTATATCCGTACATACTTTTCGTGCATTAAATTGTTGTTCTGTAGATTACCACTATTATCAATCTTTAAAAATGTATGATGTTTTGGAAAACTTATTTTTTCTTCACAAATTTATAGTGTCTGATTATGTTGCAAAGATAAACTAAATCTGAATAATGTTGACACCTTTAAAAGACAGAATTGTTAAATTTACATATTGCAAACTACATAAAATTTTTGTTATGCGTAATAATTCGTAAACAACTGTACCGTCAAGAATTGCACATTATCAACATATAACATTGAAATACTTGCTTCCCAAATGAACAACCATTTTTACAGTTTTAAATTAAGATATATATGAGAGTAAGTGATGTAGAGAAACACATCTTTCACCACTCCATTTTCTTCCCTCCTTAATATTTTAGCAAATGTTCCAAAGATGTCTTTTACTTGAGCAATATTGAAAACTCCCAATTTTGTTTGGGAAGACATTCTGCTGATTTAACAGAGCTGTTTTTCTGTGATTTATTCTTGTTAAGAGAATATTATGCCTATTTTCTTGCTGAGTAAAAAATTGGGCATTTAGGTAAAGAAAAAGTTCCCTATAAAAAAAAAATTAAACAAGAATATGGTTAAATTAAGCTGTAAGAGAATCACTGTTAGAATTAAAAAAATAAATAAATGAATTGACAGTAACAGACACAAATATACTGTTAAAAAAAAGTTAAACAGATTATACGCTGTAAAAAATAAATAAACATAAAAGCATAACTAAGTGCCCTTCTACCTTGATGATATAATCCTCGCCCCAATCGGTTTTCTCCATAGACAGTTTATCAGCTCTTTCTCTTCTTTGAGTGAAAGTTTAAAATTAATTGTAAGAATCTTCAAATTTCAATTAGCTTATCTCATCAGTGAAACAGACTGTATATAGTAGTTTCAAATTTGATATTCCCAACAGTTCTTTGTTCCATCCACTACTGTTCACCAAACACTCGAAAACATCGAGCTGCTGTAATTGCCCTCCTGTGCATCTGTGAAAAAAAAAAGACTTAGTCCTCCAGTAGCGAATAACGTTTAAAAATTTTGCTCTCATGCAAAAAAAACTTAAAGTCTAGCAATTAAGACAGCAGTTGTTTTTGTTCGAAAGATAAAAGCAAAATCGACGACAAAATCACTACAAACTGCATCTTCAGTGTCCCCAAATGTTGCAAATGCGCAAAAATGATGCTGTATCAAAGCAGTAAAAAGTAGCACATGCAAGCAAATTACCAAAGTTTTGCGTGTAATTTTCACGTAACTTCTTCATTAACTCAACCAGTTCTGATCCGAGCTTCAATTAATTATAAAAAGAAAGATACCAAGATTACGCTCCCTCTAGATTGAAACTGTAGACGATAACCGGGGAAATACTCCTACTCGGAATGCATCTGATTTGACTACTTCCAGTTTTAAGCTAATAAATCTGAATAACAATTTTGACACTTTAAGCGTATTTTTTCGGTGTTATAACAAGTCTGTATCTCCAACATAAAGACTTCCTTCATTTATAAGTGACAACATCAAACCCTCCAAATAAGAGCGTAGTTTTATTGTCAACGACCGAAATAGCATACTGCCAGTGATCCACTGCCAAAACTGAGATTTCTTCTAGAAAAAAACGAGTTGAAGTCCGTTCTTCAACGAGAACAAGCGACATCTAAACTAATTACGGCTCCAACTAAAACCATATTTCCTAACGAGAACTGTAGCACAGCTAACATTAAATTTACATAATTCTTTTTTTCTCTGCGTAAGAGACTGAAAGTTAGAAACGAATGACTTAGGTAATTTTAATTACTGGTCAGAAAGAACTAGTAGAAGAGGAAGATAACTGAGACAAAATTGATAGCAAAATTTTTGCCAAAACGGGGTACAGCAGCCTAAAATAATTTTAGAAACACATTTAAAAAATTACAATTACAAAGAAATTAGCACTATTTGCATGAGTAGCAAGTTGAATTCCTTAGGAACAACGTTGTAATTTCATACAAACACCTTCAGACGTACAAAAGTTTTCAGTCAGCAGTCATAACAAAAAGTTGAGTATTTTGAGGAATACAGTAATTAACAACAGAAAGGCTCTGATAATCTCTGTGCTCATACTATACATGAAATAGGCTTTCTGCAGTACACATTCAACTGTGACAAACAGTACAAGTTATTTTTGTGAAAAAACTACTTTATTTGCAAAAAAGTAAATAAATAAATAAAGATTCTAAATAATTCATAATTTCTTTAGCTCACGATTGTCATAAAACTAAAAATATTGCACTAAACTACACTTGCCAACCCGCTTTATCTTCTTTTCCACCTGTCGAATAAAATTACAGTGCGGTCACTGTAAAGCATTGCTTTTACCTGTCACACTTGACTAAAACCCATAAACTTTAATCTATAAACCACTCCACCTTTGAAAATCAATTTTTTCCCCTGTATTTTCATAACATTGTTAAACACTGAGAGATGACCCTTTAAAAACTCACCTTGACCGTTTGAACGTCACTTTTCTTCACCGCCCCTCTTTAGATGAGACAAAAGTGCACTGCCTCTGAAACGTAAAACAAAAAAGCGATAAGAGGGTTCTTGATAAAAGATCAATTTCACTAGACCATCTCGTGCTTTTCAACTAAAAAACACCTCGAAACGGCAACCTGACCTGCCAAATGCCAACAGAAAAGTTGAAAATTTGACCGAGACCTACACGTAGAAATTCTTCACTTGTTCATGTTCCAGATCTAATCTACCAATTCCTTACTAAAAAACCATCTTCACTAAGATACTCCAGTGGTTCGGTGCAGCACTCGGAGACCATGTACGGCGAAAACTCAAAAAGTGAATTAATAGCAGATCACAGAGTACAAGTTGTCGCTGAAGAAACCGTAAGACACAACAAAACAGAGCAGGGATTATTCACTGATTCAGTAATCATTACGACTTGTAGACGTATTACAGCGTAAAAACCAAGCAGAACTTGTGACACTTTCTTTTCGTAAAGCACCCACTCTCACCGAATTACTAAGCCAAAAGTGCCTTCAGTCCTCACTACTCTAATAAGTGTACCAATTCACCAACAATCTTTTATCAGCAAACAGAAAATGTCTAGAAAGCCAATGACCCAGATCCTTTCGCTATATCCACGAACCTCACGGAAACCAAAAACGTTTCCTGTACATTCACCAAAGTGTACGCGACTCCATGCATTTGCATTCAAGCTACTCAGCATGCAGTTTCTTTCTACCACAAGTGCCACTCTACTTCCATTGAAAAACCTTTGTAACATCCTCAGGGTTTATGTGCCAAAGACAAACATGATATATCCATAAACTTCTGTAGAACAGCAAGAACACTTTTTACACAGTGATTGCCACAAACGAACCACAACTGTTATTATGCAAGAACACAAGCATTACCCTGACAGCCCCAAAAACCGAACCCAAACGAAGTATACTGAACAACGTACCTCATCCCCTCAAGACCGATTAATGGCAGTTGCTAGCTTCAAACCCTCAAAATTCATCTCCTAAACGCATTGCTGACTGCATCTGCTGCCATTATTCAGCGGACCCAACATAACACATGCATCCAAAACAAGCACAAATTAGCTTTCAAAATAAACCATCTCCGAACTAAAAAACGCCACGAAAACGCATGATCAGAAATAAAAAACTTCTAATTCATACCTCCTTTTCTTCCGCCAAAAAAGTACAACCCACAACCCTTCACGGAAAACCAGCTGTAAAATCATCATTTTTTGTCCATGCAAACCAAGTTTACCCCTTCTGCCTAACGAAGATAGTTGAAAAAGCATAATTAATACGACGAGTAGTATTCTGATAAAGAGCACAATGGTTAGACAATACTAATACCGAATGAATCTGACGCGCATGCTAAGCGATACGCACACATTTAACCGTGAAAATCAAAGAAAAAATCAGCTGCCAGCAAAAGAATAAACTGCCTCATATATGTTCAAATAATCTAAGCACTCATTATGGAGCTCACTAAAAACACATGCGCCCAAGCAAAAGAGCTAAAAAACCTGCCCGAAAGCACCTTTATTTAATAAAAATAAGGCACATTATAATAATCAGAACAATTTATTGTTATAATAAAGAAAACTTTGAAACTCAGAACTTGCTCAATAAAACAAATGATAGAAACCTTTTCACGCAAGGATGAAAACGCATCTTCAGATGTAAAATCAACATAAACAACAGGGGTCTTAAAGGGGAAACAAAATCCCAACAGCGTAAGCCAAAATTTTTCAAATTGTTCAAATAAATTCAGCTAAATCTCTTTAATTTCAAAATTAAAAAAAAAAAAGGAAAAAAGAACAAAAGAACAAGAACAAAAATTCACAATCTGGACAATGAACTTCCAGCTGTGTACGCAACAATAATAAACGACGCATTTCCGATTGACACTAATCATTAGATGCTGGAAAAATATCACTGCCTACTCCTTATTGGGCATATTTTTGAAACCAAGAATAGCTTCCTCGCCACAAGCAGAAACAACAAGACACTGCAAAGAAATAATTTTATATTTCTGATAAGGAACTTGAAATTAAAAAATTAGCAGCGTGTAATCCAGCTCCCCAAAACCCA